GAGGATGGGTTGGCCTGGTGGTGGGTATTGAGGAGGGCACGTTCTGCATGGAGCACTGGGTGTTATGCACAAACAATGAATCGTGGAACACTTCATCTAGAACTAATGATGTAATGTATGGGGATTAACATAAGAATAAAAAAAAAAAGAAAAGAGCTAATGGAAGAAGTAAGAAGATATGAGGAGAAAATCTAAAATAAAATAAGATTATAAGGAAACAGAGCTGAGGGAATGCTCAGGGTCAGGAAGTGGGAAGTTTAGAAAAATTTACTTCCACATGTACTTACCTCACTCCTGGGCAGGGATAGATGACACTGCTGCCTGACTGCATGGGTTTGTGTGTGCGTGCATGCATGTGTATATGTGTGTGCATATGTGCTAGTACTTTCTGTTTGATGCATATTGCCTAGCACTATTCAACTGCTGCTTGCTCTGCCAACGGGAATAAGCAGAAGATTAGAGGTGACATGTGCGAGTATTAACCCTATGCTACACGTGAGGGTATGTGCTTGAAAAGTCTTGGCTCTTTGACATGCTCTTTGGCTTCCCACAACTTGCCTTCCTGTCTTCCTGAGCAATTTTGCATACCTGCTTTAGGATATGTGGCAATAAGATCATTAGGTCCAGCCTGGAAGTACTGGATTTCATCCCAAAAGGCATACATGGCTTTGGTCAACAAAATTCCCTGTATATCATCCATTTTGGGGTGCTGAATTTGGCCTTTCTGCTCTGTGGCCATTGGGAAAAGGTATTCGTTTTGTTTTTGTTTTTTTTTTGGTAAGATTTTATTTATTTATTTGACATAGAGAGAGAGTGAGTGAGAGAGCAAGAGCAGGGGAGCAGAGGGAGAGGGAGAAGCAGGCTCCCCCCTGAGCAGGGAGCCTGATGCGGGGCTCCATTTGGGGACCCTGGGATCATGACCTGAGCCAAAGGCAGATGCTTAATCGACTGAGCCACCCAGGCGCCCTGTGGGAAAAACAAACAAAACAAACAAAAATAACAGAGAGCAAAATATTTTATTTTAGACAATGTAGGTTGTCTCACTAGAGATGTTCAGAAATGTACAAGCTTGTAGCAATGTGCATGCAAGCTTGTCTGATTTGGGGGTGGTTCTAGCAGCCAGCTGGCTGGGAAGGAAATGCCTCACTGAAAAGAGAGGATGGGGGGGGTATGATTTCACTTGCAGTGCTGTTGATTGTAGCTATTGATTGTAACTGCAATTTCTATTTTATCACATCATGAATAAGCACAATGGGAGATATTGTGTGTTAACTCCTGGCATGCTCTGAAATGGTTCACCAGAAGACCTAAGAACACATCTCATTGTGACTGGGCTGAGTAGCGTTCTGGCTTTCTTTGTAAGTGGATCAAGGGCCTGAAGCAATTTAAACTGGTCATGTGGGGTTAGGTAGCTTGTCTTTTCTTATTGTTCTTTCTTTCCTTTTTCCTTCCTTTCTTCTCCCTTCTTCTTTATAAATTAATCTTCATTGGAATCCTGCACAGTTTTACCATAGTTTTCTTTTGTTGAAAATTTCTGTAAGTATTCTTTTGGTGGGGTGGGGGGCAGGGAAGAAGTGTTTTGCCTAAAGATGACCTACATTTCCTGTACAGTTCAATTACTATATCATACCACTGATGTAATGTTTCATTTTCTTGATTCACTCTTGAGTTTTAAAACCATTACTAACAATTAGAGAAAAGAGTAAGTTTCCATTTTAAATTAAAAAAAATTTCCATATTATTCAAAATCAGTAAACTGTTTCCTATAACAACAAAACTTTGCACTTACTAAACAAAAATTTTATATCTTGCAGTTCACACTTCTTTAAATTTCACTATTTTAAATTCTGAATACAAACAAAAACTCTGAGAAGTCACAAAGAATGACAGAATTGAAGAAATTCAAATTTTGCTTCTTTGTTCTTACAATCACTATGCTATCATTGTTCTGAATCTACTACTGTTTAAACACAGGGATATTCATATACAGCAGAGACACAAACTGTACCTGAAGTGAACTTGAAGGATCCTGAACTGTAATGAATTTAACCCTGAAAGGAAGCAGGCCTAGCTGCATCTGTGTGTTAGTTACAGAGGCTGGCTCTATGCCTGGGTGTTCTCTGAATTAACTTCCATACAGAATTAAATAGACATGAAACCAAACAGCGATCTAAAATTGCCAGCTGTGGGGGATATAGACAACTTTTTTACCCAATAAAAAGGTGTTAATTTGAAGTTACACAGATATGACTAAAACTTGGTAGTAACAAAGCAATTGTTTAGAATTTAAGGCTAATAGGGGCACCTGGGTGGCTCAGTCAGTTAGGCATCTGACTCTTGATTTTAGCTCAGGTCATGATCTCAGGGTTGTAAGACTGAGCCCCACGTGGGGCTCCTTGCTGGGTGTGGAGCCTGCTTGGGATTCTCTCTGTTCCTCTCTGTGCCCCCATCCCAAATAAATAAATAAATAAATAAATAAATAAATAAATAAAAAATAAATATAATTTAGAGCTAATAGAAGATCTTCACCCTTCACCCCAGAGTATTTTATCACTGACATTGTTTAGAACTGCCAGAGAAGGGTGATAATAAAAAGCAGTCAGAATTTTAGTTGGCTTAATTCAGCATCTTATTGCCTTCTCCTGAGGCAAATTGCTTCTACTGCCCTCAGCTTTGGAATGCCACTAGTTGGAACTCAAAGTTGGGAATTTGTGATCGGAAATGCGCACACCTTCCTGAAGTTATTCATCTATTCATTCATTTGCTTATTTACCAGGTGTTTGCTGGACACCTGTTATGTACCATGCACTGCATTACATGCTGGGAGTAAAATGTTGAATAAGACATGGAACCAAATATTAAAGAATTTGTGATCAAGTGGGGGGGTATAGACAAGTAAATCAACAAATAAATATGGAGCAACAGGGCTACAGCAGGGTAAATATGGGAAACCAGTGAAAAGGGCACGTAGCTTGGTAATGCGGGCCTCCAGAGGGCACAGCATTGCAGCTGATGCTATTTCCAAGTCTGACAACCATGCCTGGGCTAACTTTGTCAATGCTGCTCCTCTGTCTGTGTTTTCTGCTTTTACCAGGATACAACTCAGGCTCCTGAACGGACACCCTTGAACTTTCCGTTTCTGTAATTAAGCACTATGACTCCTAATCAGGTTTTTGTCTTCTGGCATCCCCCTCCATGCGCTTTCCTTTTCTTCCTCACCACCAGGGATTGCATTTGGAGCATGTTTTTGGGGGGCTGACTGCCCCAGGACTGCCCTCAAGGTGTCCCTTCCATGGTAATCAGGTGGAATCCCAGAACCTAGCACAGCTGGAGCTTTCTTTGAATGGCTAGGACAGATGTCAGAGATTTCATATTATCAATATAGATATAACCTAATATTTGCATATTTGTACCCAAGGTATTTTATATTACAGACTGAAAAAGTAGGATGTGCTTTCCAGAATAATGGAGACCTAAAAAATCCTTGCAGTATTCAAGTCTTTTACTTTATTAAGCCGCTTTATTTCTTACTTTGGAAAGAATGGTTGAGAAAATAGCATTAAACATGATGAGTCTAAAAAATAAAACTGGTACATACTATTAATAATCACAGAGACAGTGGTACCATAATTGTATACTTTTACAAAATGCTTTCAGAGATTCTTTGGGCTGGGCTGAAGGACTGAAGATCGCTTCCCCATTTTTGCCATCCACTATCTATGTACCTCTTGCTCAGAGTTCTGTGAAGAAATTTATTGAGGTTCCTTTCATCTTTTGCCTATAGATTTCATCAATTCTCTCATTCTGAGCCACAGTGAAGTGGTTTTTCCAATCCCCCACAGTTCCTAGAAGAGGAAAACCAAGATGGGGTTGTCACTCTGATTGAAAATTTCTGTGGCCCAACAACATGCCTGCCTTGCTCCACCTCCCCTTCAGTGCACACCCATCCTCTGCAGCTCTCTGCTCTGACAAGGGCCTGGAGTGCTCTATGCAGGGGGTGGGCTCCTAGCTCAGGCAGACAATTCACACAAAGGCACTACTGCCTTGGCCCCACCTGTGGTATATTCACATAATGGACTACTGCACAGAAATGAAAAGGAATGAACTACTGACACAGCCCCAAGGAGGAATCTCAAAACATTACATTGAGTGACAGCGGACATAAGAAGGTACATACTGTATGATTCCATCTATATGAAGTCCAAGAACAGACAAAATCAATCTATACTGACAGAAATAAGAAGGGTGGTTGTATCTGAGGGTCGAGATAGACAGGAAAGGGCCATGAGAAGGAACTTTTGAGACATGAGAATGTTTCATATCTTGATTGGGGTGCTGGTTATATGGGTGTATACATTTTTCAACACATTCAACTGTATACTTACTTCAGAGCTGTGCATTTTTTTGTATGTAAGTTACATCTCAACAAAAAAAAACTTTTGGGAAAAATGAGAATGAGATAGTACTGTATATGTATGTGCTTTTTCACTAAGCAGTAACTATTAAAATAATGTTAAAAAGGGGAAATACTCTGTCCTCCCTTTGCCTCTTCTGGAAAGTTGTGCAACAGAAATAAAAGCACTGGGACATAAGAACATACATACAAAGATGTTTACTGTAGCATTATTCATTAGGACAAAAAAGTAACTGTAGTGCCCTTCACTAGGGGAAAAGTTGGATGAGTTATGATGTATCTATCCATACTCTGGTACAACATGAGACCACTAAAAACAGTGAGCTACATGGACCTACATGCCTTGCCCTGGAGGGATGTCTGATATTCTGGTAAATGAAGGAGTATATTATGACCACATTTAGCTTTCATCATGGTATATATCTTTGTTTGCACATGTATGAGCCTGAGGGAATGAGGGTGTATAGAAAGATAGGTATGTATGGATCTAAAGAAGGGCTTCTTGCTAAATCATTGCCATTGATTATCTGAAGAGAAAAGGAATGGCATTGTTTGGTTTGCTTCACTAGCATGGGATGCTGTTGTAGATTCTAAAATGCAACAAAATGCTTCTCTCTCTGTGCTCTCTCTCTCTCTCAAATAATAAAATCTTTAAAACAAAATAAACTAATAAATTAAAAAACAAAATAAACTAATAAATTAAAAAAAGAAGACAAGTTGCAAAGCAGTAGCACACATGGTTCCTCTGGTGTGAAAAAGAAGTCCCTGTTTTTGTTTGTTTGTTTGTTTGTTTTTAGAGAGGGAGAGAGAAGGGGGAGTGGCAGAGGAAGAGAGAGAGAATTTCGAGTAGGCTCCACGCCCAGCATGGAACCCAACGTGGGCCTCGATCTTACAACCCTGAGATCATGATCTGAACAGAAATCAAGATTTGGATGCTTAACTGACTGAGCCACCCAGATGTCCCAGAAGTCTGTGTTTTTAAACAGAGAGGGAGGGGACTTCCATACTGTTGGTGGTCTCTTCTGGGGAACAGGGTTTGGGTGAAGAAAACTTTTTAAAATATAATTCCATATTGATCTAATTTTTTACAATGACATATTACTTTTTAAGTTAAAAAATGATAAATTTTTTTTTCCCTTCAAAAAGTATTAGCTGGGGCACTTAGAATTCCTCTTTTGGGAACTGGAACTAAAAAATATTAAGAGAACAAGGCAGTGCTCAACAGTAGTTATAATTGAAGTCATGATGTAGAGCAGGTCTGAGCCATGATCAGGACCAAGCTATGAGCAGAAGCTGAGTGAGCAGAAGCTATAAAGTAGGAAAAAGGTGTAATGGACAGAGACAGGAAGCTGATCACTGGAGGAAGGCACTCATAGCAGACATGTGGAGGGCAGCTGAGTCCTCTAAGTGGTGGAGCCTTTGAGCAAAGAGCTGTACCCTTCTGCTCCTGAGGTCCTAATCCTGAGATCCAGGGATCCCCAGGAGGTCTGGACCAATGGTTTCTCCTGCTCTTAACTACCTGTGAGAATACATTACCCTTACACCAGCACATGACCCCTCCTAGAAAGCCCCTCATATTGGGGCTGGCCAGAAGGACTCTCTGTTTCTTGCAACCAGATACCCCAGAGAACTCTCTTCTGTAACAAGATCAAATCCCCATCTTATTAGCAGCAGATTATTTTTAATAGGCTAAATGTGTTGTCTTGAAACTAGTAAAACCTAACATCTTCTTGCTAAGAAGCAGATAATATATTACTAGACAAACTGAGTGTTTGATTTATATTTCTATTTACATAGTATTTGAAGCCACACAAACCTTTTCTCATGAAGGGGGAAATGGACTGGTCCAGGATAGATTTAGGAACTATGGAACAATTTGTCATGGGATTTTCTTTCATTTTCTCAAATGATGTCTCCTGGACAATCTTATCTAGCACTGTTTCATCCAAGTTCTTTCCCATGAACTGCATCACTTCCTGAATTTCATGCTTTGGGTCCTGTGGTGACAGTAACATTGGAATGGGAGAAGGTATCAGGACACTCTTAAATTCTTCAGGCTGTCCCTCCCAGAAGCGCAGCCCTGAAATAGGCTGGAGTGGTTCTTCCAAAGGGCTTTTACTCACTCGTTTTATGTCCTCATAGAAGAGGAAGAGAATCTGGTATCTGTCTTTTATCTCCCACCATCCCTTCACATGGTCATACCAGGAACCCCAGCCCACTATAATAGACACAGGAAACAGAACAGTCTACAAAAGGATCACCCAAAGCCTCAGATATGTCCTGAGTCCTGATGTGTTTGAGTTGGAGGGTGATGTGGTATGGTACAGCCTTGGGGTAATTTATCCCAACATGCTACCTAAAGTGGCTTCATATTTATTGTGTATAATCATATATGCCCTGATATTGGGACAAGGATACCCTTTGGAATGCAGATGACTCTACAGGTCAAGTGACCCAGCATAAAGGCTTTCAAATCGGGTGAGAGGTTTTTGCTGGGACTCTGGGTATTCACTCTGAGCTCAGTCAGCCTGCTCCTCCCAGTCCCAGTCTGAGGTAGGACACGCCTAAGGAGGAGCACAACCTTCTAAGGAATCAAATGTTATGCTTGATTCCTAGACTGAACCTACCTGAAGTGGGCATGCAAAGATGTGAAGGATTATTCTTTACCTTTTCCATTGATGAAGGTTTCAAAATACTCTTCCCAGGTACCAGGGTCAGGAAGAATTTGATTCATCCTTTGGAAATGGTAGTAGGAAACCATGCAGTCTTTGGCATTTCGAGCTACATAAAGGAACTTTGGGGTAAGGAGAGAGGTGGGTAAAAGATGGTATGAAAAGTGAATTTTCACAGAATTCACTCAGGTGAATTCCATGCCAAGAGCAGCTTTGTACACCTGGCTCAGCTCTCCTGTGCTGGCAGTTCGACTTGGCTGGTGAACCCCTCCTCCTCTGGCTGTCTTTGCTTCTCTGCTGATTCTCCTCTATTCCAAACTCAGTCCTAGTAAGTAACCTGACTCCTGATTGCCCCTTTAGTTGTCAGGTTCCGATCATTCTGTAGCAACTATGGCATCAGACAGCAACTTCCACATGCATGCTGATGATCCTCCTAATACCTTAATCTCCATTTCCTGGAAAAGCAGGATGCTTCATGGTCTTATTTTTTCCCCTGTTCTCATCAACTCTATTACTTTCATCTCAGATCACTTCAACTCTTGCTCTACAAAGCATCCTGTTTAGGTTTCATTTTGACAACAATCTTGTATCCTTCTACCCTCCCAGCCTTTCACTTTATCCAAATCTGACCTTTAATCTCATCATGACTGCTAAGTACTTGACTCACATTCTGACAGCATCATCCTGAGCTGGCCTCATTGACTAGCTACCTCGGATCTGTGACTAGTCATTTCATGGTGATGCTGGTTTTTTACCCTAAAACGGTTCTCAACTGGGAATGATTTTGCATGCTAGGGGACATTTGGCAATGCCTGGAGGTATTTTTGCTTGTCACAATTGTGGGTGCTACTTGCATCTAATGAGTAGAGGCCAGAGATGCTGCTCAATATTCTACAATACTCAGGGCAGCCCCTTGCCCCATCCCACCAAAAAGAATTATCTGGCCCAAAATGTCAATAGTGCCATTTTCCATATTCTGATGCTTTGAATCAGAAGCATTGCTGACCTTGCTGGGGCCTTGCCGACCCTGGATGGTCTGCCCCTACCAGTTTTAGCTGGTTACTACAGATAGTAACAACTCACTATCAAGCTCACTTTTTACATGCAAGCCAACCAGTCCCGAGCCTATGCCTCCCCTGTTGGGCTCTCACACTCTGGGCCACTGTCCACTTGCTCTAATCACCTTCCTCAGTCCCTGGGGAAGAGCCACCTGAGGGCTGGCAAACCAGAGACCTATCATTGAATTTTTATAGCAGATGTTATATATTGTTTCAGTTACAGAAATCCTATTTATTTAATTTAATAAGAAATTCCGTTTTAAAAATAGTGCCCTTTCTTTTATTTTCGATTCAATCTTTCATTTACTTACACAACTTCAACATTCTTCTTATATTTCTATATCTGATCATTTTAATATCTGAAATCCTTGAGGTGTAACCCTGCTGTTTGCGCTTTTTGCACACTGTCTTTCTTGTGCTGGCTTGTTCCTTTGTGTATTTTGTAATGTGAGGCGTGAACTCAAGCAGGAACTCTGGCTGCCCAAGCTGAAGCTGTGTCCTCCCCATGTTTGTTTCTGCGGGTCATCCTGGGGGTGCTGGCAATGGCAACCACCTTATGCTAGTTTCTCAGCTTGGGGCTTCTTGGACAATGCAAGAATTACAACATTGAATCTCCTCCCTTGAGAGAGGAGGCCTATGGCCACACATTTTCAGGGCAGCTGAGAGTGCAGGTCAAGACAAAGAGGTTTCCTGGCGTCTGCCTTGGCCCCCTCCACGCATCCATTGAGGATGAAGCCCTTCAGCTGGCCCACCTTTGGTTCCTCACTTTTCTGGTTTCTTCTGCTCTGGGCTTGGACCCCGTGCAGTCACTGAAACTCACGCTGCCGGATTCTCCAGATCATCAAAGAACCCACAGCACAGCTCCAATCTCAGTGACCTCTTCTCTAGTTTCAGCTCCCTTTATTGTGGAACTTAGGGATTCCTTTACTCTCTCTGGATCTCAGTTACACATTTACAAAGGCAACTTGTTATGTGTTATATGTTATTGCTAGGTGTTTCATACAGAAGGTTTCAGGGCACTTAGTGGTCATAATCCAGAAATGGAGGTTCTTGTTCCCTTATACAACTTTACTGAAAGGACTCCCATAATTGCTATTGTTCCCTAGAAATACGCCCTTCTAAGCCTTTTGTTCCCTTCATTCCCACCTTTGAGAAAACTTTCTTACCAATGCTCGCTGACATCTCAGTTTCTTCCCTTGCCCTCATTCATTGTACAGCTGCTCACTTGTTATTCATTCAGCAAACACATTTTGAACATCCTCTATGTGCCAGGAACTGATTAGGCATTAGGGTGCAGAATAAATAAAGTGAAGAGCCCAGAGTTTACCAGAGGCTGAGGCCAAGTGTTTCCCTTAAGAAATATTGCTCCATCTATTTACCATTTTAAATGATCTTCAGGGCTTTTTTTTTTCCCCTCAGTTTTTCTTCTCTGCTCTATTATAAGTCTTAATTGCCCACACCCTTGTGTCACTGTGGACACTCATTATCTCTAGTTCTCTCCAAAAATTCAGTCTGGCTTTTACTTCCATGTCTTGCTTGCAATCGTTCAGGTAAATATCCTGCTGAGTATAGATAGAACTTTACATTTTCTGTTATTGCTGATCAACAGTCAACACTTCAGAGATGGTGAAGGAGCAAATATGATGACACTGTAGGGACTGGGGGATTTCCTTCCAAGAGACCTAATCTCTCACCTGTCTCCAGGGAAGCTGTTGCTGTCTTACCTTGCAGTTGTTTTCGCAGAAAGACGGAGGCAACAGCTGAGTTGGAAGGTGAGTCCTTAGTATCCGTGGAGAGGGCATTGCTTTGGCTTTTTCCACCCCTTTAAAGTAAATCAAGAGGAAACATCTGCATAGTACAGATACTGCATGGGGGAACTTATATTCCGGGGTCTGTCCAGAATGTCCCATCACCTCCCATCTTTCTCCTTATCTCTTGACTTTCCTTTGGGATTTTGAGATTACCATCATGTCTGTAGACTCCTACAGCTTGAGAGCTAGAAGGGAGCTTATATTAATCTGTCACTTTCAGGATGAGGAGATGGAAGCTGAGAATGGACAAGCTAGGTCTTGTGGAAGGGCAGGGGGAAGGGGTGCAGAGCACAGGCCTTTCTTACCTCCCAGCCAGTGCCCATCCCTGTGTGTCTGCAGCAGGCTGCCCATGTACTTGGCCTATGTGCTAGTCACTTGTTTCATCTCTAAAAATATATGTACTTGATGGCATGTGAGTCATGATTTCCACTCTGTGCTCTAAAACATTGGGCACCTGCTTTGTGCAATCATTGTGTTAGACTGAGGTTAGGGGATGTGAGATAATAGAAAATTTATATTTGTCTCTGCTGCTGCTTCTTGGCATAGAGCTCCTGAAACCCCTGTTGATAGGGGTGGTTGGGGGTGTCTTGTTCTTTTTTTTTAAAAAAAGATTTATTTATTTGAGCGAGCAATCGAGTGAGAGAGAGAGAGAGAGCAGGGGGAGGGGCAGAGGGAGAAACAGAATTCCAAGCAGACTCCCCGTTCACTGGGGAGCCTGATGTGGGGTTTGATCTCATGACCCCAAGATCAAGACCTGAGCTGAAATCAAGAGTTGGACGCTGGGGGCACCTGGGTCGCTCAGTTGTTAAGCATCTGCCTTTAGCTTGGGTCATGATCTCAGTGTCCTGGGATCGAGCCACCTGTCGGGCTCCCTGCTCAGTGGGAAGCCTGCTTCTCCCTCTGCTTGCCACTCCCCCTGCTTGTGTTCCCTCTCTCACTGTCTCTGTCTGTCAAATAAATAAATAAAATCTTAAAAAAAAAAGAGAGTTGGACGCTCAACTGGCTGAACCACCCAGGTGCCCTAGGGGTGTCCTGTTCTAATGAGGTGACTCCTGGGGGTGCTCCTGGATGGGGGCTGGTCACCAGCAAGACCAGCCATGATTAGAAACTTAGAATTTTCGGGCCTGCCCCCCATTCTCCAGAGCAGGGAGAAGGGCTGAAAATGGAGTAAACGATGGATCATGCCTGCCTGATGAAGCCTCCATTAAATCCCCAAAGTCCAGGATTTGGAGAGCTTCCCAGTTGGTGAACACATGGAGATTGAAGGGAGTGGTGCCTACAGAAGTAATGGAAGCTTCTCATCCTCTCCCTATACTTTGTCTGGGGCATCTCTCCCATCTGGCCAAGGAGGGGCTTGTGGCAACCCCTGATTAGTAGTCAGGTTGGACGGAAGTGGGTAACCTGGGGACCTACTACTTGCAGTTGGCACCTGAAGTGCAGGGAGAGCAGTTTCATGGGACTGAGTCCTTAACCTGTGGGATCTAATGCTATCAGCAGGTAGGTAGTGTCCGAATGGAGTTGAGTTGTAGGACACCTGGCTGGTGTCAGAGAGAATCTGTTGTTGGTGTGAAGGACATCCCCTCCCCAGCCCACACACACAAACTGGAATTGGGGCCTGAACCTAATGCAGGGGAAAAGGCAACAAAGTTAAAGGAGACATGCTCCTTCTCTCTAAGAAGCTTCCATTCTAGTGGAATCAGAGGCTTATGCAAAGTGAGCAGAGTTAGTGCTGAGAAATGAGTCCACATCAAAAGTTAGGCTCTGAAGCAGCCTTGCACACTGGCCTTCCACATCTCTTCTCCCCTGAGTGCTTGGTTTTCCAAAGATGGGTGTGGGGTAGAAAGGAAGGTGTGGAGGAAATGCCTCTCTTAGCCCCTGACAGACATCCTGGGAATGCTGTTTGACTTTTAAAAAGCTGGATCCCAGGGAAGGTCACTGTCAGTGCAAACTGCCCTCTGGCTGATATAAATTGTACATGTGGTCTGTCTGAACATATGGCTTTGGTTATTCTCCCAGGCCTGGCGAGGAGGAAGAGTCTCTGCAGGTCCCAGTAAAGAGAAGGAAGACAGGGCCCTTCACCCTAGGAAGGAGTAGGTCTGGAACTGGTCTTGTTCCCTATACCTTAAAATGTAAATGTTCCCTGGTGCCTTCAAATTTTTGCTGCTTTTGAGCAGCTCAGACCCTGTACCTCTTCTGTTTGGAAACCTTCTATACTCAAGGTGATTTTTCACACTTGCTCCCCAAGCTGTATGTTTGAGGGGCAGGATTCAGGGTGGTGTTGAAAGGATGTGCTTCATTCTGGTCATCTTTGATTTTGCTTACTTTGTATGTTGAGAATCCTTAATAGTTTTTAAAAATAGTGGTAAAATACATATAAAGTAAAATTTGCCATCTTAATCCTTTTAAAGAGTACAGCTCAGTAGTGCTAAGTGCATTCACTTTGTGGTGTAACAAATCTCCAGAACTCTCCATGTTGCAAAACTGAAACTCTGTACCCTTTAAACACTCACTCCCCATTGCACCCTCCCCCAGCCACTGGCAGTCACCCTTCTTTCTGATTCTGTGATTCTATGACTTTGACTACTCTGGATACCTCTGGATACCTCATATAAGTGGAATCATACAGTGTCTTTTTTTGTGACTGGCTTATTCCCCTTAGCATAATATCCTTAAGGTTCATCCATGGTGTAGCAGGTGTCAGAATTTCCTTCCTTTTTAAGGCTGAATAATCTTTCACTGCATGTATGTATCATATTTTACTTATCCATTCATCTGTCCATGGACACTTGGGTTGCTTCCATCCTTGGCTGTTGTGAATAAAGCTGCTATGAACATGAGTGTGCAAGTTATCTTTTCCAGTCTCTGTTTTTAATTCTTTTGGGCATATATTCAGAGGTGGAATTGTTGGATCATAGGGCCCAATAATTTTTTTTTAATAAAAAAATCTTGGTACTGAAAAGAAAAATTGGAAAACCACTGGTCTATACTTAAAGTCCATATTCCTTATCAAGACCTGTAAAACTGTCCTGTCTCTAGCAGCTTCCACCATGTCTCCTGCTCACACGTTACCTTTCAGAGCTATTTACATTTGTCCTGCTGTTCCAGGCCCCTCATCTTTCTTTTTTTTTTTTTTAA